CAGAGTTAGATTCTGCTTGATTAACATAACCTTGTGATTGATAATTTATTTCCCTCGTTTGATTTCTCCCTCTTCCTCTGCCTTTACATCGTGAGGTATTAATAGGGGCTTCAATGGGAGAATTTTCTGCCTCACTAAGATCAGGATGGGCTAGTCTTGCTGATCTTCTGGACTGACTTGCCATCTGTAGATTTCATGATTAAATAACACATTTTCACCTTCCCATATACAATAAAGTGTCCAAGTTCAGATATGTACCTGTAGATTCAAAATTACATTGGCCAGATGTAATCCTAATGTACCTTACACTGATCTCTTAACTTATCATATTTATTTCAAAAGTTCTAACTATGTCCGGGACCCTAATATGCAATAGAATAGTTTAAGTCTAGGCATCATCATGCAATTGATCACCTAAATTCCTTAAACTTAGGCTCTGATACCAATCTGTGACACCCCAGTCTCCACAAATTACATATTACATATTACATAGAATTCATTCATAGAATACATAGATTCCCACATAGGTCCAAAATTACAAGAGTCTGTGCTACAGGTTTATGATACAAATTGCATAACTTAGAAATTCCAAAATACATGCATTTGTAAACTAGTATTGCTCTCCTTCAAAACACATCTAGATATGGTCTTCAATATTTAAGCATGTAAGGGAAGTAATCATATAATGCTTTTTCCTTATTGATATTATAACTGGTATTACCTGCACAAATATTTTAAAACATAAAATGAGGGTTAGACAAAAGTCTAGTGAGATTCCTTTTTTCATGCTATGCATGGTGAGATCACCAAAAACATTTATCAAAGAATCTCTCAATCATAATGAAGAATAATAAAAAGAATCGCATCATGTTTAAGTCCATCGGGCCTCTGGTTCCAAACCATACTTAGAATATTTTTCAATAGTCATGACCAGAGCTCCTCTGGTCTATCTACCAGAGCTTCTGGTTAGTCCACCAGAGCCTCTGGTTCCTCGACCAGAGCTTCTGGTTGTACTTATGAAAGCCAACCAGAKYCCCTCTGGTTTGTTTTATAGAAATTTCYAAGTATAGAGACTCTTTTGAAATATCATTTTAAAACTATAAATATAGCATTAAGCTTGTTTCTAAAAGATATAAAACTTATTTTCAACTAATAATTTATAAAAGATTTGCATAATTTATAAATCAATATCCAGAATCCTCTGGTTCTATTATGAGGGTCAATCAGAGCCCCTCTAGTTCCTTGCAAGGTACAACCAGAACTCCTCTGTTTCCTCATAATCAATGCTTTTATCCAAAACATATTACTCACAACCAATAGTCATGAACTATATTATCTCCAATCCCATAACATCATTACCTTCATTCCTACTAAAGACAACATCTCTAAATCCTCAAATCACCAAGAAATGAGAACTTAAATCTGTTGTAACTTTAATAGATATCATAATAAGAGTTAGGCCACGCAGACAACGATCAACATTATATCCTCCCAATAATCCCCTTTTTATGATGTTCCACCCTTATATCCTCCCATTAATTCATATGAAGTAATTCATCCAAAGACAGACCTCAGTCATATATGTCAGTGTGAACCTATTCATAATTCCCAAACCAAATCATGGTTTCAACATAGGTTTATCCTCAAAACCTTCTATTCTCAAGAACATCCTGATCTCCCAAAACAGTTTAAAACTCTGTTTTTTCTGTAAAACTCTTTCAAACTGTTTTAAAACCCATATACTGTTTAATTCTTTCCAAAACAGTCCCAAAAATAGATTCAAACAGCAACTTCTCAAAAGTTGTTGAAGAACACAACTTTGTTCCATATTTATCCAGACACAGATTCCAAAACAATAACATCATAAAAACTGTTGAAGACAATTTATCATCTTAACCTCAAAACCAATACCAAAACTCAACAATTGATACACAAATATATGATGAAATTAGTTTCAAAACCACTCACCTTATCAAACAGATTTCTTGAAGATAAACAAACAGCAAAAGTTTTACTCTAACACATAATCTTCAAGTACTTTTGAAGCAACAATTCTTGAAGAACACATTATCTCACACACAGAGGTTCTTTTCTAAAAACAATGACAGTGATAAGGATAACCTTATCTAAATTTTTTTCTTTAAATATCCTCACCTAGGCGGTGGAGGATTTTAATAATATAAAATTGGATATGACGGTGTGGATTTTATTATTAAAAAACCTATTTGCATTACTAAGGTACCACTAACTCAATAAAATATTCATATTATTCAAACATGTATGCACTTATTTCATGTATCATGTATTGTTGCCACATTCACGCATACCATCATATAATTTATTAAATAATCACGTAAAATTTACCTTGACCTAGGTTATCTGAAACCAGGTTATAACAGCGTACGCGGTTGGGGACGATAAATAACATCACTCAAGTACATCAATTTAGCATTTAGACCATTGTGCATTTATAATCAGATATCATGATTATAACAATTTACATTTAAACAATTCAGTTTGCAATTTATTCATGCTTTTCCCCCAAATATTCAATAAATAATAACGCGATAAAAACGGGGCCGTGATTACTCACTGACTTACGTAGCATGACACTTGATGACTTTGGCGGTGAGAAGCTCTAAGATCCCGATCTCTCCTCTCCTACGATGTCCAAAGTCTAAAATTAGTCCACCTATCTGATTTCGGATTAGATAAAGTATTTATTGTTATCTAATGTCGATAAGTTCTCATTATTGAGAGTTGATATTATAATATAACGTCTTTTAATTTGTCCATTTTAATGTAAATTAAACTTGAAATCATTTTCACGTAAAATCATAAATTGGACAGAAAGTAAATTTTATATCTGGAATTTTTGGTCTTATAAAATGTCATCAAAAGGTACCTTCCACAACTCTTTTTGGGTCTAAATTTTTATATCATCAATAATAATGAGTTAAACAGATTTTTCCCAAATATGAAGAGTTTTGGATGGGTTTAAGACACTCATCATTACCCTACAACTTTGAGTGTCACAGTCCCCAAGACAGATTGCACACTCTTCAAGTGACGGACATTTGGGGGGCCTAATTCATCATTTTTCAGTGATTATAGCTGCATTTTAAAGCTAACAAATAAGGCTAAATTTCACAAAAAGAATCACCCATTTTCATTGAGTTTTGAAGGAGATATGACTGTTTTAAAATGCATGCAAGATTCTGTCAGCATTGCTCTTTTTGCACCATAATCTTGAATCAAGAACTTGAAGGCTAAAAACTAAATATTTTTTAGTGAGACCAGATGCATTAGAAAGATAACTCATTAAAATAAATTCTAGAAAAAATAAACCATTTTGGAGGAATAACCAGAGAGATATGGTCGTCCAAAGTTGGTTTTACCTACTGTCAAGTGTGTTGTTGCACACTTATTTTGTTCTAAACATTTGAAAGTGCAAAACTTACTCTTTTTATGTGATTCTAGTGGGGATAGAACCCTAACTCACTGAAATTCATTAAAAAAACGTAGCATTTGGACTATTATTTTAGGAGAAATGGGCGACATAACTACTAGGTACTAATCTGTCAGCCCCAAATTGCCCCTTTTTTGGTAAAAAACCCACATGCAAGCATTTTTACCAACTTTTCTTGAGTTCTAATGTTTGGGATCATGGATTACCACCATTTCAACGATATATATCATATTTTTTGGTGTGTAATCTACCCTTAGAACTCAAAGAAGTCGTGGGTTTAGAGGAAGTGTAAGATAAAGTAGAAGAAAAACGGATTTTTACAGCAAAAATGAAAGAAAAAAATGCATAGACAATGTTCTTACCTTCTTATATGAAGATTGTTCTTTGATTTTCTTCAAAGAACTTGTAAAATGATGAGGGTTTAGGGAGAAAATCGGTTGGGTTAGAGAGAAGGAGGAGAATTTTGTGAAGAGAGAAATGGAGAAGTGAGAGAGAAGTGAAGGTAGACTCACCTTCATTTAAATTTAGAGAGAATGGTGGGAGGGAAGAAGGGGGCTGGCCATGGGCCTAACCCAAGCCCAAAAAAATTTCATTTTATTTAAACCTAATTATCTTGTATTTTACCAAATTAAAATGGCTACCGATGATAAAAATCAGTATTTGGTCAAAATTTCAGATTTTTGTGAAATTGTCTGGACTTTTAAAATTAAACTTTTTATATTTTAAATTTGGACTTTATATTATTAACTTTTATCATATTTTGGAGAATTTTTAGAGTTTTCGGCATTACATAAATTAACTTTATCAGTTACTTGCCGAAACAGGACTTTCTAACCTAAACAACGGCAATCTAAACCAGCTGATTTCTAATCAACTTAACTAAGCTCTAATAAGTTACATTTCTAATTTTGGAAACCCTATGCAGATACTAACCTGGATTTCAGAACTGACAGATGTCACAAGTTGACCAATGAACAGCTGGATTCTACAAATTTTATCTTGTTTTAATGTTTATCGATGTTTAGATAAGCTTTATCTGTTAGTAAAAGGTTAGCTAAATAGTCTCACTAGATAGTTAGATTACTAGTATAAATAGGTGGTTAGGCCTATTGTAATCTTTGACTCTTTTACGTTTTTCACATCATTTGAATAAAGTGGAATTTTTGGCACTCAAGTTGTTATAACCGGGTTTCAGGCAACCTGGGTCGAGGTAAAATATATGTGATTAATTGGTAATTTACGTGATGAAATATATATATATATATATATACTAGTTGTATACCCACGCAATGGGGCGGGAGTCTAAATGTAAACGATTTTGAGGCTTTTTGCATTTTCACGAGACATCATTCATAACCAAAACACCACCCTTCTCAAATTCCTCTATTCAAAAGCAGCATCATCATCGTCATCTCAAAGTGGTTGGCTCGCAGTGGCAGCAAGCTCGCCCTCATGCCTACAAAAGAACACCATCATTTACACACATACTTTTTGAAATAAGAAAAGAACTCAATAACCACAATATTCTGGCTTATTGTTGTTTATCAGCAATGTTCATTTGCACTTCTGGGGGAGAAAGAGTAGGAGACTCAACAAAATGCAAGTTGGGATCCCTAAAACAACAAAAAATTTAGCATATTAACTCTTGAAATATTCTACTTAAAACTTTTTTCTTGAATAAAGTTTGATGATTGTTAACCCATCAAGCTTTCTGCCAAGATAGAGAAAGGGCTTCTCAAAGTTGTAATTACTCTTGGCTGAGATTTCATAATACCACAAGTTCTTCTTTCTGTGGAAAGTAACTTGTTTTCCACAGAGTACGATTGGGATGTTAACACAAACACTATGATCGTAAAATATGTCAATAAATGATATATTAACATATGACAATACCAAGGTGAGTGGAAATTTATACCGACAGAGATCACGATGCCAAAGACCCCAGTTCTTGACCGGTAGAACAAAAAAACCACAAAAGCCCCAAATCTGTCCACACGTTAAAGAAAAATACATACGGCCAGCATATGGTGCACCTGGGTTGTTTGATGTTGGACCTGAAGACTAAGCCCCAACTCCCTATTAGCCAAAAGATTAGCTAGTCTTAATATTTATAGAACAATACACTTTTTTTCTAGTCTAAGAATAATCGAATTAAAAATTTATAGAAGCAATTTTCTGACTGAACCGTCAAGATCTACATATATGAATAATATGATGCTATTTTCAAAAGCACTGAAATTGCCATGATTTAAACCATATTATATAATATTATAATGCTACCAAATACATATTGTAATTATGTTTGACAAGGTGAACCATGATCCAAGAAGTTGCCATGATTTAAACCTATATGTATTGAACTTCTAATAAGGTCTTAAGACTTGGAAGGATCAAACAAGCTGGAAAGTATAAACACATTCTCAATTCCGGAAGCGACTTTATGGAACTCGTTGGTGCACATAAAGAAGCTTTATCAGTATCTACATTCCAAATGTCGTTGGTGTTTTTGTGTTTGCATTTATACAGCTTCTTGCTTTAATTGCAATCATGTCTCAGATTTCGTGGCAGGTGTTTCTGGTTTTCATTCCAGTCATTGCTATTCGTATATGCTTATAGGTACCTACTTGATAGGTTTACTATAGTCTTATAACCAACATGTTATCACTCAAAACAGGGTAAAATCATCTACAGTTTGGTTGGTTGTACATAATATTTAGTGAGTCATATTTAAATCATCTACACTCTAATACATATGATAGCAGATTCTGAACTTTATTACCAGCAGATTGATTTGCTTCTTCTTGCATGACTAATACAAAAATCATGTACCACAGGAGCATGAAATAAACAAAAAAAAGCTAGAATATGACAGAATGCGTGTTTACTTGTAAATGGAACCAAAAGAGAATAAGTATCCACCTGAAGAAGAAACTTCAATCGTTCTAGAGGAGCAACAATAGTCTGTGATGCGGAAGAGAAACAAGAAGATATAGGTCGATGATAAGAGTTTCAATACAGTTTCTTCTGCAAGAACAACATAATCAGCATAAGTACCTCTCACAGCTGTTGGGTGCAATACACCAAAAACTTCCTGCCTAACATTAAGAGTCTGAACAGACCCTCCAACTGCAGCACTTCACCACTAACATCACGGCCCAAAACCAATGGAAGAAGTGATTCAAATTGAGAATGGCCAATAGCCTGCTCGCATCTGAAAAAAATATGGAACATATACAGCTGAACAAACGCCAATTATAAAGGCAATTCCAACATCAAAGCATGCAAAACTGAACTGTTTTCAACTTTCTTTTCAAATAATTCAAAATCAAACATGTTAGCTTCTACGCCACCAACTACCGCATTCAGAGCATTCAACCTCTCAATAAGCTTCTGCTTCCTCTCATCATATGTTAGCTTCTTCAGGTTGAACCTAAACCCACAAAAACAACATCAACACACATAATCATCTCTTTGTTTATATAAACATAATCTTCTGCAAAATTATCTTTTTACCATCAAAATGGTAGATTTTAAAAAATGAGGTTACCTGTTGTGCTCCATTGGAGGTTGTTTCTCCAACTTCTTTGGGGTTGGATTAGCACGAATGGCTGAATGCACCTTCTTGTACAACTCTTCAATGTTTTTCGAGTCAACTCCAGCTTTAATGTATTCAGAAAAGTGAGACTGATACTTTTCCGGCTCATCTTCCATCAAAGTCTGCATATAAACCAACTATTTTCAAATGATATGTTCTATTTTCAAAGATGCACTACATCTCTTGTTAAACAACAGACTCACCCCCATGGAGGAAGCAACATGCCCGCCATAAATGTACTTGCGGTTGACATTAGCATCAAGTTGCTTACCATCCTTGCTGAATCCAACAAACTTTTCACTGTGCGGAATGTCAAGTCCACCATCGAAAGCTCCCTGAACCAAAAGTTTCCCATTAAGAAAATGCACAAGTCAGTACATAATGCGTATTTTATATTTAAAAACTACTCAAACTCCATCCCAGATTATCAACATATGTGCAAAAGAAGATGAAATCACCCTATTGGAAATTGAATGCTAGCATAAAAACAACCATGTACCTTGAGAGCACCAAGAACACAATTTGCAGTGGTGGTTCTGATAAGACCCACATCCAGAAGAGCCCTAAAAGGCCTTCTACTGTCTGCAGGCTCAATAGAGTAATCTTCCCCAGTCGCCTGCAAATAATATATCTCAAATAAAATAAATCCGCATAATTACAACATCCAAGTAAATTGGAAACAAATTACATACCTCAAGATTTCCCTCATACTCCTCGTCCATCTCAAGCTTATTCAAAACACGGTGAGCCAATAAAAGTCCAGTACATTAGGTTACAATATAGGCACCAATTAGGATTGTGTGTAAATTTGGATTAAAAAGACTCAACAGAAATTTTTATATGTTCAAAGAGAAAGAAAGAAGCTTACAACAAATAGTAGAAAAAGATATTCCTAATGCATGGTCCCTAATAATTCTTGCGGGGTGTCGTTCCCTTCTTGGGGACACCTACTTTCGAAATAGACATGTCTTTTCTCAAATACGTGTTTCTACATTACACGCTCTGGCTTTTCCTAATTATTGGAACTACGGAATCCCAAAAAACACCCTTAGTTTAGGATCACTTCTTGTTTCACTACCAATTTATTAACATATTCGCCTGACATTTCATAAATAAAGTCTTGTATGCAACAGATAATTGTACCTTCTGCAAAAGCATTACAGGAGAATGATGAAAGGTCATGTTTTCTTATATTGGCAATTAAAAAACCTCCATCTCCAGGTATTGCGTATATTTGTATTGTCATTTGTATCTGAAGGAAAACAAGCAGAACAAACTCGTGGAGAAGATAGTAAGAATAATTCACCTCAGCTACCAATCTCTTCATTTCTTGGCTTGTTAGCAGGCCCAGTTGCTTCTGCCATTGATCAAACTACAACAAGCACATGTAGAGAAAATAGACTAAATAACATCTTATTTAATATAAAGACACAATAGATTTTAGTTTTCTACAACAGCAGGTCAAGTTTCTTGTTCATGAAACTATGGTACCAATTGCTATACAAAAAATCGGTTGCTATAAAAAAACAAACCTATGATACCACATAGGTTAACTGCAACTCAAGTTTAAAAGTGAGAAATCAATATTCAATAGCATTTAAGTTCAAGAACTGAAAGTGGGAAATCAAACCCTAATTACCTGGACAAAAATTGGAACGGAAGGAGAGTGTGATAGAAAGAAGTTTGCAAAAGAGGGCATAAAAAAGTGAACCAAAATCAATGGAGAGTGATTACCTGGATGAGAGACTGTAAATCGATGAAACCGATTGATTACCTAAGAGTGATAGACTGAGATTAAGGCCTGAGTGATGGATAGAGAGTGTCTCTTCGAAGAGGATGAGCCTGAATGGTTTTGAGTAAGGGATGAGTGTCTCTTCGAAGAGGATGACCCTAAACCCTTGAATCGTATTTTTGAGGGCAAGTCTCTCTCTCACAAGCCCTTCAAGAATCATTTCAAATTTGAATTTTGAAATCTGAAATTGATAAAGGTAGAGAAGGTAGTGATCGGATACAGAAGAAGAAGAAAGTGGCCCAAATTGGTGATTTTAGAATTCTGACGAAGAGAAAGAAGGTTTGACACAATTAGGATTTGGTATTGGATGAAACACTTAGTATAAATAACTTGTACATTGTGCATGATAATTTGTAATTAAGAGATTTTTAAAATTCTTGCATAAAATGATTGTAACTTGTGCTTAGAGGGTAGTAATTAAGATAATGACTTAAATGCTTATTAATGTAGTATATATATATATATATTTATATATATATATATATATATATATATATTAATTGATTAATTTAATGAACAATATGCATAGATGAAGACATGCATGTCATGGTATGCGTATATAAATATATATGAGTGGATAATCTTATATGTGATATATGCTATGTGGTGTTATTATTTTATTAAAAAGAGAATGGTATCTTCACCATTAAGTAAAATGACATTTAATAATATAAAGCCACACCGCCTTAGTCAATATTATAATAATAAACATCATTCACTGCCTAGGTGGGATATTTAAAGAAATAAAAAGATAAGGGTTATCCTTATCACTGTCTAATTTAGAAAGAAACTCTGGAGAGAGAAAAAGGTGTTTAAATGCGGTGAGGCGTTCTTCAAGAAATCTGTTGTTTCAAAATTATTGAAGATTCTGTGATAAGTGAAGAACTTGCTGTGTGTTAATCTGCAAAACAATCTATTTGATAAGGTGAGTTTTATTAACCAAATATTTATATTTTGTGAATATTGAACTATTAAGTATTTATGATTTGAGGTATAGAAAGTGCTTGGTTGTAACAATCCACATATTCCATATATATAAAATTTACATCATCATACTCATAATACTAAACATGGTATTATTACAAAACATGGACTAACAAAATTCATTTCTAATACATACATGAAACAAATAATATCATCATCTAAACTTTCCCCTTGCCTTTATCTTGCAAAGTACGCTGATCTGCAAAACAGGTTAGTCCAACAACAGAGCGTTAGACCAAAAAGGTGTAGTGAGCGTATAAATCTCATACAAACAATATACATTCCAAACAATCAGTTTAGAATCAAACCTGTTCTGAAACATAAGCATACTTATGTTTCTCGCGGTTACACCGCCAATACATCTCTCTCGCGGTTACACCGCCGTTTCATCTCTCTCGCGGTTACACCGCCGTTTCATCTCTCTCGCGGTTACACCGCCGTTTCATCTCTCTCGTGGTTACACCGCCATTTCATCTCTCTCGCGGTTACACCGCCATTTCAAAATATTTTCTAACTCTTTATCCGGACTTGAAGTCCGGTCAACCTTAACACTTGAAAGTAAATTAGCATCTTTGTCCGGATTAATACTTCACTTGTAATGTTAACCGGCTTAAATTAAACCGGACAATACATGATTCAAACTTTGACCGGTTTAAAACAATTCGGTCAATACACCACCCAATCTTTTGAACGGTTTACACAATATCCGGTCACCTCTTGGCCGGTTTAAATGATATCTGGTCACCTCTTGGCCGGTTTAGGAAGACTCCGGACAAGGCATGAGCGGTTTATTTATCCGGATATTAATCCGGACAACACTTGGACGGTTTAAACAAGAACTCTCATAAAATGCAACAAAATTCATAATGACCAGTTCCAAATGCTTATCAAACTGTATGTGAGTAATTCATATCCAAAGCTCTTAATACACTCACCTTTAGAAATCAAGAATCAAAGCCTTTGAAATCCTCTTCTTCCTGTGCAATCCTTCTGATTCTTCAGAGAATAACTTTCTAAATATAGTAAGAGTGTACCTTCTCTTCTCAAACAAAATCTATATATACCACTTCAAAATGGTGGGCGGCTCTCTAGCCGACCTCCCCTTTCTCATTTAAAATTACCACTTATATATATATATATATTACACATATACATACATAACCGTACATATATATATATATATATATATATATATATAACAACCAGAATATTACATTTGTAAAAAGCCGTTTTATAGATATTTTGACATAAAGATTATGAGTTTTAAGGTTTGAAACTGTTTTGGAAGAACAAGTTGTTCTTAAGGTTTAAAAAGATTTTTGGTTATAAACCGATGTTGGAAACCATAATTTGGTTTGGAAAATTATGAACATGTTCACTTTGACATATATGACTGAGGTCTGTCTTTGGATGAACTACTTCATATAAATTAATGGGAGGATATAAGGGTGGAATATGTCACACCCCACTAAAGCGGAAACACGAGGCGTAACAGGTAAGCATTCATAGCTCCATTTGATAGATATCACCATTAATTACATTATCCATAAAGATTTACAAATTCATAACCTTGATGTTCACAAAGAGAACATTATTTACACAAAAAAGATTTCTAAAGCTTGTGAACAGGTGTTATCGCGTAAATCTTCCATAACTTTCCTTCTTACTTAATTTCCTAAAAAGCATGAAACACAAAAACGACGTCAACTACAAAGAGTTGGTGAGTTCACGGGTTTTCATATGCACAAAATATTTACAATGCATAAACCACAATTTGCAAACTTATACATAACGTGCACATTATAAATGTAAATTTTTCCATCGATGCTTAAAAACTTGAAACGCTACAGAGCCTTACCTGACCAATGTGCCCCATTAGTTTACGAACTACCATAAGTGGCCCGTTCACTCACTTAGGTACCACGGTTCGTATCAGTACTACTTCAGTGGTGGCTCTTACGCACACATGAGTAGACTTATGAGAAACTTAGGTAATGTGCACCCTTTTCTGGGTGGGACTGTCAACAAAATAGCGGCTATCCACAAATACCACGACCCCAGGACGTGCCCGAGTTAACTAGAAGTGTGTACGGACGGGGACTTTTTGAAATATCCTCTCAAGCACATCAATTTATCATTTATAGGTAGTGCTATAACAAATCATTTTTTCATGATTTTCACAATATTCGACTAAACAGTTCTTAGTCCATAAGTTTTACATCTAAACAGTAAAGTTTGCATTCTTTCATGCTTTTCCCCCATTTAAAGTAACTAAAAATAGTAAAAGTAGGGCCGTGAAAACTCACTAGTTTGAAGAAGATTATCCAAGGTTTTGATGAAGCTTGGAGCACCAACGTCCACTCTAATGTCCTAAACACCCGAAATCCAATAGTTAGATCACCCATCGGGTCATGATAAAAGTAAAGTAAGATTATATCTTATGTAATGCCATTAAACCGTTATAGGTTAAAGGTGATATCATTTTTAACTGTTCCTACAATAACCCAATATTTAATTAAATAAAAGGGTTTTTTGCACCAAAAAGTTGTTATGTGGACATATATACAGATTTTGTTCAGGGACTCTTGATTTCACCAATCATTGTCAAGGAACCTTCCAAAAATCATTTTACTTTTAAATTTTTAAAAACTACAACAACACTGTTGTTAGATTTCTTTTGTCTAACAACATTATTTTTACTCCTTAAAATTTTATATTAAACATTTAAATGCCCCAAAACTCGATATTCTTGAGTGAGACCTAAAATAGTTAAACAACAACTAATCAAATAAACTCCAACATAAATCAAATATTTTGGGTTGATTTTTCTAGAATACAGTCGACGGGGATTGTTAGAAACAATCTGTCAGTTTCAAAATGCCATTTTTATTGATTAAATACTACATGCAATGTAGTTTTATCCCATTTTCTTGAGTCCTAAGTTCATAGATCATAGATTATCATCATTTTGGGAACATTTTCATGTCTTGATGAAATAATCTCCCATCTTAGACTCTCTAATAAAATTTTGAACTCAAGAAGGAGCAAGAAATATAAATATATCAGCGTCATTGCTGTTAAAAGATTCGAAAATAAATCAATCGTATTACCTTTCAGCTTGATTTTTCTTAAAGACTTGAGTGTTCTTCAAGATTTAGAGAATCAAGAAGGATTTTTGGAACTTGAGTTTGGCTAGAGGAAAATGAAAGGTTTTAAAGAGAGAGAGAAAAATGGAAAAGTGAAGGTGAAATGAATGATTTTCAAAGGAGGTAGGGTTTTTATATGAAGATAGAGGGCCCGGCCCATACAAGGCCCAACCACCATATTTTTATCTTTATTTTTCTTATACAAACTCAGCCCAATTTAATTACATTTTATCAAATACAAATAAAATTATTCATTATTAAATCAAAATTCCAAATTTTGTAAAACTTATTTGTACATACAGTTGAAACTTTATATTTTTAAATTTAAATTTTATAATATCGACTTTATTTATTTTAAGAGAAATGTTTAATATATTTGGCATTACATAGGTTACTTTTATCAATTACCCGTTGAGGCAGAGTTTTCTAAACTATAATTTGGGAGCTAAGTCGATTGATTTTCTCATCAACGTGACTAATCCCTAATAAATTAAAATCCTGATTATAGGAACCTCTTAAAGATGCTATCCTGACGCTCCAAAAGTGAAGGATGTCACAGTCTCTCCATGCCAGAAAAATTTCGTCTCGAAATTTAATGCCTCAATTCTTAGCTTTGGATTCGCTTGCGAACAAGTGAGGATACTTGTTTGTCATAAAATCCTCTCTTCCCATGTGAACTCCGGTTCATGTCTTGAGGTCCAATGAACTTTTACAATCGGGATTTTGCTTTGCCTCAACTGCTTGACTTCTCTGTTCAAGATTTCTAACGGTTTTTCAACGAAGCGCAGATGATCATTGATTTGCACCTCTTCCTATGGTCCAGTGTTTCATCGGTTGAACACTTTTCGAGATTAGATACATGAATGGTGCTTAACTCCTGTGGCAAATTCAGCTTATATGTCACTGGTCCAACTCTTTCAGTTACTTCAAATGGGCCAATATATCGGGGACCCAATTTGCCTCTCTTTCTGAAGCACATTATTCCTTTACATGGTGAGACTTTTAAGAGTACTTTGTCTCTTTTTTGGAACTCTAAGGGTCTCCTCCGATTGTCCCATAACTTTTCTGACGATCTCTTGCGGCCTTGAGTCTATCTTTGATAATTACAATCTTGTCAGAAGTTTCTTGAACTACATCGAGTCTAGTTAATTGCTGATCACCGATTTCTAACCAACTGAGTGGCGATCTGTATTTGCGCCCATATAACACTTCATATGGCGCACACTGAATACTGGCATGATAGCTGTTATTGTATGCAAATTCAATTAACGGAAGGTGTGTATCCCAACTTCCACCAAAGTCTATGGCGCATGCATGTAACATGTCTTCCAATGTCTGGATGGTTCTTTCCATCTACCCATCCGTTTGGGGGTGATACGAAGTACTTAAATCTAAGCGTGTACCCATGCCTTCTTGAAGTGATTGCTAGAATCTTGATGTAAATCGACTATCTCTATCCGGGATGATGGAAAGAGGTACCCCATGTCGAGTGGTGATTTCATTTATGTAAATTTGAGCCAGCTTCTCCATCTTATAATATTCTCAAATCGACAGAAAATGAGCAGATTTCGTCAGTCAATCCATAATTACCCAGATTGCGTCATGCCCTTTCCCAGTGCTGGGAACTTAGTTATGAAGTCCATCGATATTTGTTCCCACTTCCATTGGGGAATCTCAGGTTTCTGAAGTAGGCCAGATGGTTTTTGGTGTTCAGCCTTAACCATTGCGCAAGTTAAACACTTATTCACATACATAGCAGTGTCTTTCTTCATTCCAGACCACCAACAATGATCCCTCAATTCCTTATACATCTTATCCGCTCCGGGGTGGATTGAATATTTTGATCGATGGGCTTCATTCAGAATTATAGATCTAAGATTACCTATCTTAGGAATCCAAACCTTATTTCCCAAGTAATTCACTCCATCAGACTTCAGTTGGAACTTAGTTTCTATGTCATGTAAGGTCTCATTTTTCAAATTCTCTTCCTTCAATGCCTCTTTTTGATCTTCGAGAATTTGTGCTTTCAGACTCATGGTTACTATTGCTGCCATGGTTCGTACCCTTGTTGTCTTCACTCTTTCCTTTCAACTCAAAGCATCAGCTACTACGTTAGCCTTGCCTGGGTGGTATTTAATTTCGCAATCATAATCACTGAGCAGTTCAATCCATCTTCTTTGCCTCAGATTTAACATTTTCTGATTGAAGATGTATTGAAGAGTTTTGTGATCAGTGAACACAGTGCACTTGGTACTGTATAGGTAATGTCTTCAAATCTTAAGTGCAAATACTACAGCTCCCAATTCTAGATCATGCGTAGTATAGTTCTTCTCATGCACTTTGAGTTGTCTTGAGGCATATGCGACGACTTTTTCTTTTTGCATAAGCACGCATCCTAATCCTTGATGTGATGCATTGCAGTATACCACAAAGTTTTCCGAACCTTCTAGTAATGATAAAATAGGTGCATTGCACAGCCTATGCTTAAGAGTTTCAAAGGCTTCTTCTTGCTTCTATCCCCAAACAAACTTCTTGTCTTTCTGTGTTAAAGCTATGAGTGGTTGCGCAATCTTTGAAAAATTCGCATTGAATCGCCGATAATACCCTGCCAAGCCAAGAAATTGACGAATTTCTGTCGGGGTTTTTGGGGTTTCCCATTTCTTAATGGCCTCAATTTTCGCAGGGTCTACATGAATTCCTTTTTCATTGACCACATGACCAAGAAATTGTACTTCACGAATCCAAAATTCGCATTTAGAGAATTTTGCATATAATTTCTGGTCCTTAAGTAGCTCTAAAATCACTCTGAGATGTTGCTCATGATCCTTTTTGCTTCGTGAATAAATTAGTATGTCATCTATGAAGACAATTACAAATTTATCTAGGTATGGTCTACAAACCCTGTTCATTAGATCCATGAAAGTAGCTGGGGAATTGGTTAACCCGAATGGCATAATCAAAAATTTATAATGGCTGTATCGGGTTCTAAATGCCGTGTTGGGGATGTCTTCTTCACGGACTCTCACTTGATGATATCCTGATCGGAGATCGATCTTTGAGAAGTATACATCACCTTGAAGTTGATCAAATAAATCATCGATCCTAGGAAGAGGGTATCGATTCTTTATAGTCAACTTATTAAGCTCCGTATAGTCAATACACATCCGTATCGATCCATCTTTCTTCTTGACGAACAAAACTGGTGCTCCCCATGGTGAAAAACTGGGTCTTATGAATCCTTTATCTAATAACTCTTGGATTTGTCCCGACATCTCTTGCATCTCCGATGGGGCCAACTGGTATGGTGCTTTTGCCACTAGGGCAGCTCCAGGAATTAAGTCGATACCAAATTCGACTTGTCTAGGTGGGGGTAATCCTGGTATATTCTTAGAGAACACTTCCGGGAACTCCCGTACTACAGGGAAGTCTTCAAGAGTTCTCCTTTTAACCTTCTTATCTATAATGTGTTCCAAAAACGCAACATAGTTCTTCTTTAAGTCCTTCTGCATCTTCATGCATGATACTATCTTAATTTTTCGATCGGACTCCTCTCCTTGAATTATAAGTGCTTCACCTCTTTCTTGGAGAATTCGGATAATCTTTTTCGAACAAAATATTTCAGCTCGATTTTTGGATAGCCAATCCATGCCTACAACTATATCAAAACTTCCTAACTCAATCGGAATAAGATTTGTGCTAAACTCCTTCTAAGCTAAGCTTAGAGTGCAGACCATGATTATATCTCTAGTCCTAATTTCTTGACCATTGGCAAACTCTATTATATAATCTTCCTTCATCCTTTGAGATTTTAAATAAATCCTTGGCCTAAAGTCTAGAGATACGAAACTTCTATCAGCTCCTGAATCAAATAATACTGATGCGAATTCATTATTTAAGAGAAATATACCTGTAACCACATTAGAATCATGCCTGGCCTCCCTTGCTCCAATTTCAAATGCTCGCCCCTGAGTTTGACTTTCTGAGTTTCCTTGGTTGGCTGGTCGGGCTTGATTAGCATTTGTTCCTTGCTTTCTCTTTGGACATACATTTCTCATATGATCCGGACTCCCACATTGAAAACATAATCGCCTTCGACAATCTTTTGTGGAATGGCCCCCTCTGTGGCACCTTTGACAAATAATACAATTTCCCTAATGCGGAAATTTACATTTATTGCACTTAGGCTTGCTTCCTTGATTTACCACTTGAGTCTGAATCCCAAAGTTTCCTACCGCCTTTCTCTTCTTGCCAAACCTATCCTCGAATCTCTGATTTCCTAGCTCTTCTACCTTCCTTTTTCCTTTGTTGAACTCTCAAGACCGAATTGCATTATTTGTGAGCTTGGTTGCAATGTCTATTGCCTCCTGAAGGGTCTTTAGGTTTGCCGAGGTAATATTTCCTCGGATTTCTAGAGATAATCCCCAGATATACCTCTCGATTCGGACATCTTCAGGTGTCACCAGATGTGGTACTAAATTGGCTAATTCATGGAATCGAGTAGTATATGCAACTATGCTTTCCCCCTTCATTTCAAGATTCCATAACTCCACTTCCAACTTTTGGAGTTCACTTCTTGGACAATACTCGTTCTTAAGTAGTTTCTTGAATTCTTCCCATGAGAGTTGATTGGCTGCTTCGCGACCCCTAGTCTGAACTAATGTGTTCCACCATGTCAAGGCTCTGCCTTGTAGTAAACATGCAGCATATTCTACTTTGTTTGCTTCTGAACATTTGCTGATATGGAGGACAGACTCTATACCTTCAATCCAAGTCAACAATCCTACAGCTCCCTCAGTTCCATGAAATTCCTTCGGGTTGCTGGATCTGAATGATTTATAGGTGTATTCCCTAGATGTCATAGGCTCAAAACTGGTAGGTTGGTTAGCATTTAGACCCGCAACCACCTGATTGACTATATTGGGAAGCGCAGCCAAGAGTTGCTCTGACACGAGTCGTGCAACTTCAGGGTTTTCTCTGCTTGGTGGCATTTTCTAAGGCATGATAAAAAGGAAGTCTCATCATTTTCATGGCAATATCATTGACAACAATTTCTAATCAACAGGATGATGCATAGGATATGATATCATTAAAGCAGTCACATGATCAACAGAACATTTCATATTCATCCAAGGTTCTTTACATTCAAGCGATTTTAAAACATACTAAAGGGCTTTTCAAAAGATTACCATCCCTCCAAAACAGATTTTCAAATCCCAACAAAGGAGTAGTGATTCTAACACTAAACATCGCCTCTAGAGCAACATCCAACAGATTAGCATTCCTAGCACTAGTATCATCATCACACTTGCCACTAAACATCTATACAATCTTCTAATTTCGCGTCTTGCAGCGATGACAGCATCCGTGTTCCTTACCATACGCTGGTGATGCATCTCCATCACATCAGATAGGTTGTTCAAAATATGATTGTCACACCCCGCTAAAGTGGAAACACCAGATGTAACAGGCAAGCGAGTCATAGCAACAGTTAATAAA